GCGTAGATTTGCAATGGCAGCGAGCGTTGGAAGCGCCGCTGTGCGAAATCAAAGCGAATGGCGACAACACCGATGGCGAGAGAGTAGTAGTACGTGTAAAGCTGCCAGCGACGCGCCGCAGATGTGCATGTTGTTGTTGTTGTTAATGCCGGCGATGAAGGCATTGATGCCATTTATAGCTGAGCCGACTTGCGTGTTCGCGATTGTGCAGTTCGTGTTACAAGCTCGGTTGTTGCGTATCGACTGTTGCGTGACTGCGAGGGACAACAAGCATTTGTTTACTATTGGGTTAGCAATTTAATAAACTTGAAATGCGTTGAGCTTAACTGATTGACTGTGTAAAAGCTTAAAATGGTTCAATGCTAATTGAATTCAATAATACATAGCGCAAATAATTTATTATTTGTGAAAGGTAGCAAATTAAAATGATTAATGCTCGGCATATCGACTTGCAAAAAGTTCGTGGGCGTGCTCTGCGGTTTAATAAAATACTCAATAATTAAAGTACGACTGCCTGGCAGGGCTTATATTGGCAATTCGGGAGGCGACCTCTCCGCAATCTAAAGTTGCCGTCCATCAAACCGACAAACAAAACTCATCTATCTGTTTCTACTTTCGGGCTGCATCAAGTTGTCATACTGGTAAAATGTACAAACCGTGCCTAAATGTTTGATTCCTATAAAAAAAAGTCATACTGCCCGTGCCGATGATCACCCTATTTGGGGCTCTTCATAAGCCCAGTGCGCCACTCTTGACACCAATTCATATACTAAATGAAAAGTGTCAAACTATAAACTCCTAAACCAGGAGTTTTGTGCCTGTCAAAAAAGGCGGGCAATCGTTAAAAACTACTCAATTAAAGCTACACCAGCACCAAGGTTTCCAAGCTCAAAAAGAAGGCACACCACCAACATTATTATGCAGCTTGCCCTTATCGAACAGCAGCAGTAAAAAAGTGGGATTTGGTGTAGGTGCATTCGTTGGAAAAGTCAATAACTTCGAAATGAAAGGGATAAGGATACCAAAGCCTTCCAAGGACCTCGTCTGATACTTTTTGAAGACCGAGATATCACCATCGGTCACACCATTGGGCTCACCGAAAATCAAAGGGCTTTATACATAATTGGAAAGTGGTCGATACGGCGATGGCACATCGAAGAGCTCAACAATGAAAGCTTAGGAAATTCTAGCGAAGAGTGACAACAATTCGCTACCACTAGTTAACTTAGCGGTATTCGTCGCAACTGAACTGGCTGGATCCCCATATGTCTTCCATATGTTCCGTGACACTCTTATGCTCATTTATTAAGGATGTAAGTATGGGTGTCGAACAAAATGGCAATGGTGGGCGCGAACTCTGGCTATACGCATCTCTTAATAAAAAAATGTGTACCGAAGCAAACCTATCCGAATTCCATTACTTTATTTGTTGCAACAAATGGAAACAGCTAGACTTCGTTTGTTATTCTGCATCAAGTCACATTTTCAATTTCCATTTTTCAATTACACCACAAACAGCAACTTTAATTAGCTCACTTAAACCGTTTACGTTTGTGATTATTTTGGTTTTAGTTCTTATCCTCTAGAAATTTAATTTACTTGTTCTATGTTGTGTTGCCAAGTTCTTAAGCTTTTTGCTTAGCGGTAGGAGACAGCGGCCTTGCGAAATCTACTGTGTTTGTGTAATTTCATAATTCATTAAATGCAAGGTGAGGGGAATTCTTTCAAAGCAAGCAATCTGAAATGCCTTTTTGTCTTATGCTTATTTAACAAATATTTTAGCGCAAAAGTGTTTTGCTCAATAGAAATGTCGTTTTAGGTTGCCCTTAACAATGTCTGAAAAAAGGAATTTATGCTATTTGTGTCGCCAATCAATTTCATTAAATCGTCGGTCCCTACGAAGAGTAGCACATTTCACTATTCGCGTGGAAGACTAGCACATTTCACTATTAGCGTGGAAGACTAGCACATTTCATTATTCGCGTCGAAAAGTAGCACATTTCAGATTTTTGCGTGGAAGAGTAGCACATTTCGTTATTTGCGTGGAAGACTAGACATTTCAATTTTGCGTGGAAGACTAGCACATTTCAGATTTTTGCGTGGAAGAGTAGCACATTTCGTTATTTGCGTGGAAGACTAGCACATTTCAGATTTTTGCGTGGAAGATAGCACATTTCGTTATTTGCTGGAAGACTAGCACATTTCAGATTTTTGGTGGAAGAGGGATACGCAAGGCAGTTCATATAAGGTTGTAGCAGCCGTTAAAAAAAAAAAGTTACATAAATATGTATGTTTATACTATAATTATTTTTCTTCGGTCATGCTGAAAGTTTAGTGTTGTATATGGAGCCTTTTGGCCGGTTATTACAAGTAAAATAAAC